GTAGAACCTGTAAAGACACTCAGTCTGATCCTCTGTATCTTCCCATTAACACACCTTCACCATCAGACCTGCGGGTACTGTAAAGTGTAATGTGGCTTCATCGTGTCTCAGGCAGTGCCTGTAGCACTCTCTGTCTCTCTCACTGTGATGCACAGTAGCCTGAAGACTCTCTTCCTGTCCGTCCCTGCCTGTCCGCCTCTCAGGTCTGGTTTAAGAACCGCCGTGCCAAGTGCCGCCAGCAGCAGCAGCAGAGCAGCGGGCAAACAAAGCCCCGCCCTCCGAAGAAGAAGGCGTCGCCGGCACGAGAGCCCAGCGCGGAGCCCAGCGCCAACGGGCAGTACAGCCCCACCCCCCCAACTGCGGGCGCGGCCATCACGCCCAGCTCCAGCGCCAGCGCCACCGTCTCCATCTGGAGCCCGGCTTCCATCTCGCCGCTGCCCGACCCGCTGTCGGCCTCCACCACGCCCTGCATGCAGCGCTCCTCCTCCACCTACCCCATGACCTACACGCAGGCCCCGGCCTACACCCAGAGCTACGCCGGCTCCTCCTCCTACTTCACTGGCCTGGACTGCGGCTCCTACCTGTCGCCCATGCACCCGCAGCTCTCGGCCACCGGGGGCGCCCTCAGCCCCATCGCCGCCCCCTCCATGGGCGCCCACCTGAGCCAGTCGCCAGCCTCGCTGTCCTCGCAGGGCTACGGCGCCGCCTCGCTGGGCTTCGGCTCGGTCGACTGCCTTGACTACAAGGACCAGACCGCCTCCTGGAAACTCAACTTCAACGCGGCGGACTGCCTGGACTACAAGGACCAGAACTCCTGGAAGTTCCAGGTCTTGTAGGGGGCGGAGCGGACAGCGGGGCAGGAGCGGGAGGCGGAGGCGGGGAGGAGAAGCCAAGGGGCGTCGAAGGTTGGCGCCACAAAGCAACGACACAGCGAAACCGATTAGGAAACTCAGAGTCTCGTCACTGTGACGTCCGAGCAAGACGGGACAGTGCAAGAGCAAGATCACACAAATGAACCAGTAACAGAAAAGAAAGAACTAACCGGAACCAATAGGTTTTTTGCTGAAGTTTGATAATAAAAATACTTATTTATTGACCCACAAAAATGACAGTGTCTGAAATTCAAAATTTCTCAGTGGGTGGGGGGAATTGATTTACTTGTTAGCCAACCAGGGCAATTTGATATTTCAAAGAGTAACCATCCATACGCGTGTGTATATATGTATATACAGTATATATGTGCATACACACGGAAAGTGCTACGATGACCTTAAAAATTCTTGTACCGCTAACTAATCAGCACAGAGGGTCATATTTGGGAAGGGAGAATCGTTCCTAAATATATTTTAATATATTTCTTATTTAAGATTTCTCCCAACTGGACTAGGAGGTTGTTAAATGCAATTAGAACAGCAAAAAAATATATATTTGAAGAGACCACAGTGGGGCTGTGCCTCGGGGGGTAAGAGAACTACTGTACGTCTGAAGGGTTTTTGCTCAGAAAAATGAGAAAGAAAAGACTAACAACAGCATACCGCAGAAACGGCCACACAGGCGGAGACGTGTGCTGTGTGTCAGAGCCGCGCAGATGTAACTGCGATCCTTTACATTCACGTGATTGACTTGGTCTCTCCGATTACTTGGAAAGAAGAGAAAGGAAGAGACAGAGCACTGGACGCGCTGTCAGGAATTAGACCATGCTGCTTTAGGGACAGCATGGCACACAGACTGACAGCCAAGGGTCAACAACAAGAGCCAAACTCGCTTTTTGCCATGTGTTTGAATGCTGGGCAGCAGGAACTCAGAGGCTACCAAAAGCACACAGGCAGCCTGGCTGCACACCACCACGGCATTGTGGGATAGGCACCTGTGAAGCAAAGCATCTAGGGATATGTGCCCTTTTCCATGGAGAATGCAATGGCTCCTATGGATAGAGAGAGGAGCCTGAAATAAAAGTATTTTCTTTTTAGATATTAACTTATTTATGTTACTTTAAAATGTGAGTCTTTCAGAGTAAACTTGTGGTAATTTGTTTTAAGTTAATATTATTATTACAAACGCAATTATCCTCATTATTATTATTACTATTAACATCATGATTACTGATACTACATTTGTAAATATTTAACATTACTTGAAAATGCAATAACGTTTGATCTTAACAGTACTATGTGCGGACAGAAAGTGCAGAACTGAACGCTTTTTTGTTAAAGAAATTTCAACGAGACCGCCATTTTGTTTCTGTTATCTGTTTGTAATATTGTTTTTGATTGCTGTTTTTCAAACTCAGGGGTTAAAGTATTAATTATAGCGACTGTAGGGAAATACTGTGAGCAATTGATTCCACCTCAGTGAGTCCTTCATCTGCTGTACTCTT